TGCCGGCCATAATTGAATTCCCACGAATCACAATTTCACCCCAAGTTCAAGTTGAAGCTGAAGCCGCCATAAAAAGCCGCCCAAAATTAGATAAACATGTAAATGATTATTGACACAAAAAGGTTGCTCCCCGAAGGCATGAATAAACTCGGAATGTGTAATGTGCATATGAATAATAAGAAAAGGACACAACTGGCGATACAAATTGACGTTTTATTTGCCTTTCACCTGACGACAGACGACAGTGGGCGGACAGACAGCCGAGAAAGGACCCCAGACGAGCCAGAAACCTCAGTCCACAAATGAAGTAATTGGCTGAGTTTGTCTTTGGCCAACAACGAAAGTTGTGGGCATGCGGCTTTAAGATAGAAATGTATCTGAATCAGGGTGGCTACTTCGTCTTCATCTTCAGCTCCATCTTCAGCACCAACTTCATCTTCATTTTCATCGAAGATACATTAAAAGTTCCCACTCCCGCTTTGACTTTCAAAATGTGAATGCACTTTTGTTGTACGTGACAGGTTTTTGTTGCTCCACTTTTGTTTTCTTGTTTCGGGTTTTTCGCTGGTTTTTATTTTTTTTTTCGCTGAGCAGCAGGAAGAAGACGAGCGTTTGGGTTTATTGACTTTTTGACTCACATTAAATGGGTCTTAAATTCTTGAAAACTTTTAATGCGATAGCTTAGTTTAAGCTGACCGACGTTGAGTTTCAACAGCTTTATGGGGATGTTTTCGGTTGACTGGAGTTAAGGTAACCATATAAAGTTATTTCCCAAAAACAGAACGAAGCAATTGTTTGCGAAAATAAATTTCATATTCACTAAAAAGATTGTCGAAGGTTCCCAAAAAAAAAAAAAGAAATTGGGTCAGCCACACGTACGCCAAACTATTAAATTAATTGTTTAATTTGTTGTGATTAGTTTGTCATAGACTCACAGTTTTTCACCAATTTTAGCCAGCGCATTAAATACGCGAAATATAATTTTTAGCAATCACTTAAACAAGTCACGTGCGTGGAACAGGGTCGATTATGGTTAATCAAGGGGAGGTTAGACCAAAGACATCAACTCAGTTCAGTAATATCAATTAAAATCGGAAATAGAATAAATAAAGCCGAATGGAATGCGTGTGAGGTCAGTCGGGAGCTCCGACTTCCTTTAACCCTGTAATGACCCTTCAATCAACGTGCCTGTGTGTGTCAGATGGATATGGATGTGGATGTGGATGGAAATCAATTGCCGGGGGCTGTCAAATTAACATTATCTTTTGTTGCGAATGCGTTTTGTTTGCCAAAAGTGTTTCATTGATTGCCGGAATTGCTAATGACAGTTGACTGAATGAGACGAATATTAAGCTTGGGCTGGGAAATCGTGCATGATTTTCTATTGGAGTTTCCCAAAATAAGGAAATATTATTTAGATATTCTTAGTCCTCTGAAAGAAAAAAATAAACAATATAAATGTATAGCTTCCCACAGAAAATAATGGGAAAATCGATTTAATCAAATAACAAAGAAAATTTGTATATCTTTATACCATATAAATTAACTTATAATTTAGCAGAATTCACTAGGCTGCCTTTCCGCAGTAGCCACACCTCCCGGCATTTAAATGCAATTAAGTTCTATGCCCATTTACAATTATCCACTCCGATCATGTGGGCCTGTAAGCCTAACTGGCAATTATTCATGCAACTGGCCAGACAGGCCGAGATCGTGCTAAAAATAAAAAAGAATGCACCATACGCACACGCTCAAAGCCTGTCAGCCACTTAAGGGCAATCTTCGCTTGTTATGGGAATAATAGAGAGCCCGACATGGGATCTAACATACTGCACGAGTCAGAGTCAGAGTCAGGAATAGAATAGAGCATGTGCTCCACTAAAAATAGACGCAGCCATATTCCAAGCGGGCTGATGTGATGACGATGACGATGGCGATGATGGCCCATAAACGCGGAGCAGAAAGCCACGGAGCTGGATGCCAAACTGCTGATTGACATAAAAGAGCAAGTGGAGTTGTAAAAAAAAAAAAAAAAAAAAAACAGAGAGTAATCGTAGTCGTAGTCCGTGCAAACTGGCAGCAGTTATACCCAAGAAGATGAATCAACATTCCGAGCGGTCAACGTACCACGTTCAGGAATGGCACGCCATCGAGCAGAGGATGCAGCTTCTGCTCCTGCTACTGCTACTGCTACTGCTACTGCAGATGATGATGATGATGATGATGGTGCTGCTGATGGGCAGATGAAGATGGCAATCTACAGCTTCATAAAGGCAAAGACATCCAGCCAATGGGCAGTGCATCGAAAGAGGCTGCTTAAACAAACGAAAAACCAAACAAGACGTTCACAATTGCCATTTTAAGACGAAGATTAGATGCTCTTGAACAGGGGTTGGCCATTAAATTATGAAATTCGTCTTATGCCCAAGACACTTTCCGCATACTTAACTAGGTAATGGACATCTTAAGATTCGATAGAAGAAGTTCGGACATCTGAAATCATATTTAAATAGTCTAAAATTTTAATTGAACTTAAGTCAAAATTTATATAAATAAATTTATATAAATAAAATTATATAAATAAAGTTATTTACAATTTTCATATATACCTACATATTTCTTTGGAAGAGTCCAGAAATTCTGATCCTACAAAGAGTATCTTGTCGTTCAGAAATATTTGATTAATATTTGCACATCAGTCTTAAAGTTCAGAAAAATTTAATTATTTTCTTGAGTTACCTTTTAAATAATTGTGTTTAATAAGCTAATGGAAATATCAAGCCAAAATAGAGTATATTAAATTTTAAACTTAATGGGTTAATATATAAATCCTCACTTATCACTTTTTTAAAAAAAGTTTAATAAAAAATGTTTTTAATTTATGATATCATAAATAAGTCAGATATTAAAAAAATGTTTATTCCAATATAAAGTGCAGATGAACGATGATTTATGTTTGTTCTCTTAAGTTACCTTTATCAGCAGTTAACAATTTCCTTGAAAACCTTAAAAAATAACAAAGGGTTTTAAAATCTCAATCTGTTTATAGCTTAGTAAGCATTAAGATAAATTATGATTACTGCTATTATTATGAACGCAGCTGTGTATTAAATTTGTTAATGCTTATAAATCTATTTGACCGTATATCAATGCCATTAATGTTTACATTCTTCGTTGTAATAATGTGGACGTACTGATTTTTAAATAATTTAAAATAAATTATGTATAATTTGCGTAATAGCTACTTTCTTGTCTTAAACTATAGTACCCTTGGTAAAGGGTATAATACCAAGACTGAGTAAAAACGGCGGCAGGCAAAAATGAGCAAAGATGCCAGAACGTAACATTAAAATAAACGCGCACAGATAAATCTTCGGGCTGAAGAGTGGGTTTGGGATGCAGAGCTGCCCAGTTCCCGAGTCCCCGAGTTCTCCAGATCCCTGCCCTCCGACATCCCCATCCCCATAGCCATCCTGCAGCAGCGAAAATGCAATCAAATGCGGTCTCCGACTCCCGTCGGTGTGCCTGTGCGAATACGTGATGTCCAAACTATACAAGCGGTCAGCCCGAGCATCTGCAAAATGCACGCACATCGCACATCGCACATCCGTGAAATTCCTGAGTCGCTGCTGCTTTTGCTTCTGCTTCTGCTTGTGCTTATGCTTCTGATGGTGCCATGCATTTACGTTGACGTTGCAATTACAACTGGGCTGGCAGCCAGATGGGAGGGGATCTTCTTCAGTTTGTCCAAAGCCCTTTCCTTTCTTTGGCTTTCTGCTGGCCATTCCCACGACCAGGGCCAGTACACATAAAGAAAAGCGGATTATGTGCGACTTGACCAATATTAGTTTAATAATTAATTAATTAATTTGGCTACAAGTCTGAATTTATGACTAATATTAACATCTATAGAGAAACAAAGACATTTTTACATAAGCTAAAGTAAGTTTGTTGTTTTTTAAAAGTTAGTAAAGCACTAACTTTAAGATTTTTGGAATTAAAGCTTTTTTTTTACAATTCGATAAGTTATTTGTATCTAAGTTAATTGAAATATATGTTCAGAGTGTTAAAATGTGGGAAATTGAAATTCTGTTGAATATATAACCAATGTTAAGATCATTTATATATTAGTCGAGAAAAATTGATAACAGATCTTCCGAGTTGATTGCCATTTCACTTCCCTTTTCACTAAAAATAGTTTATACCAAAATCAGCACCACCTTTTTCAAATATAACCTAGTTTTTAAAAATCATGATTTTCAAAGACCTTGTTTTTCAGAATAATAATATGCTTTTTGAAAAATGAATTTGTTTGTTAGAATTTTGATTTTAAAGCTAAGCAATATTTATATAAATCCCCAAATACGTAGATATTTTTCTGTGTACCAGTGCCATCCCAACCCGAGTCATGTTTTCTTTCTGCTGCCTGTTTACTGTGTGATTATTACAGGCAGCGGGGAAAATAACAGGCATTCGCTTAGATGCCAGAAGCTGCTCCTTTGGCCAGTTCAGTCAGCTCACTCAGTCGGCGACTGGACTGCAAAGTGAGTTACTTAAGAGCTCGGCCGGCGGCTTCATTACAGATCCACGTCCTCCACTCGGAGGACAGTCACAAAGCCCCACAGCTGAAGGAGAGGGCTCTTCTAAGCCCTCGAAGTGGAGGGTCCTTCGCAAAAGGCTTTTCTGGCCCAACAAGTGGTTGTCACCGCATTGTGTATCAATAGTCGTTTCACCGACATTACTCCCACCTCCCACTGCCGATTTGCATTTAGCATTTTGCATTTGGCGCATCCATCTCCCCCGTTGATTTGCATGTGTCATCGAATTAATTGAAGAGCTACAAGGGAATTGGCGATTAGTAAGCCCAGTTGCCATGGCAGCGATTTGAATGCAAATTGTACGTCAATGTCTTGGTCTTGGCGATTAATTGATACAAATTGAAGCCAGATGGCGGGTTAAGTGATATATTAATGGATAAATAAATTTAAAGTCAATAGAATTGCTTATCCTTATATTTAATAAAATTATTTAAAATAAATTATATTTTGGCAAGCCGATTATCTTAATGTCTAAAAAAATTATTGGTACATAATGCATTCTAAGATTTACTATCACATGGATTTTACTATCACATGGACTCAATCAGAATCATTAACGTAATTGTCATCAGGTACTATTCTTTAAGCGAATCTGATGGGAAGTGCCTTGATTCTGGAACTTCCAACCAACATGGAGAACTGGGGACCCTCCGAATTGCCATATCGAGTGACCTTATCGACCTTGTAGGCAGCAGGACCAGGACCAGGCTTCTCGTGCCTCCTGCGATCAATCCTGCGGCCAAAGGAATACTGAGGTCCTTTTCGTCCAAAGCTGCTGGGCAGCATGTAGGCTCCAGGTCCCGGTCCTTAAAAAACTCAGTAAGACCAAGTACGACTTTTCCAGCGAAATTGAGTCTTCAACTTACCATAATTTTTAGACATCTTCACAAAATAGTTAAGAAACTGAGTTTTTCCAAAAATTTTATTACAAATAGTAAACCATCAGTAGAAAAATTACAAATTTTGTAACAAAAAAGTTTGTGTTTGCCGAGAAACCCTGAGTTAAGGAATGAAGCGAAGCTATATAAATTCAAAACTGTTGTAGCTGACACCAAAAAGTCTAGGCTACTGTAATTGCACCAACAAACAAAAAAAAAACTAAGCATTACGCATATTTTTAATGTTTTTTTTTCTTTTAAATATTTGGGTGAGGTAAAACAGTCGGTAAAATATTCCCCAAGTTGTATGTAGCAAACCAATAAACTACTGTTAAATGAACACATTAAATGGTTTTTAAATTACTGCTTCACAAATGGATTGACACATTTCCACACTGATTCTCACAAACTGATTGATATAATATTTATTTATTGTGCATAAGTTTGCAATCTGCTTAATTATCCGTAAATCAACAGCTACTCACAACGCCCAGACATAAAAGCCAGGGCGCAGAGAGCAAAAAAGCAACTTACGCTCATTAATTATTAACACCTAGGGCGTAAAAAACATTAATTAACTTTTATGCACACGCCACGCTAATTAATATTTAATTTGCCTCAAATTGTACAACACTTTGCATTGTTCTAGCCGCTCCCGGAATTCGATTCACAGTTTCAGCTGTGTACTAATAGATTTTATTTATGAGGGTTGTGTCTGTCAAATGCGCTCTTCATTAATTTACATATACTTTTAGCTGACAAATGCCATATTCTAGTAATTTTATGCAAGTCCAGTCTGATCGAAAGCAAAGCGTTTTATCAAATTAAGCATCTCGCATTCCGCCGGTTACTATAAATGTTAACCGTTAACCAAATTATGTTGACATGAAATATTCATGGCATGTTCGACATAAATCACTTATCATAAAATATTAAACATCTTTATTGTGTTAAGAATGCGAATACTTAATAGATGCAAATTATTTGTTTTTGATGGCCTAAATCTTAAATCGTTTAAATTAATGGGAGCTTTGTGTTGTTTATACAAAGTTGAATTAATAATAATTCAAAGTGAAGTAACCAATTTAAAAAGTTTTAAAATGTCAAGAGTGGCATTGTTAAATAACTTTATAATATTCTTGTTATTTGTAATCATTTCGTAGTTTCCTTTCCCTAAATTCCCAGCTATAAAATATAAAATCATTATGAATCATTTTATGCTTCCTTTCATAGAATTTTAATTCCCAAAGTCAGATGGTCAGTTTGTCCATCACGTTCTTACTATCAAATTGATTTTTTTCAATCAGTACTTCTGAAAGCACGCCTTGAACCCCGAACCCCTTTTCTCCTCTACTTTCACTGGCAACTTACAGCAATTTTTCCTGGCATTTTTTAATTCTGAAAGTTTTTGGCCGATGCTGCAGACTTTGCATAAATTATGGAAAATCAATATACCTTTGAGAAGCTGTATAAATGCGGATTTAATAATTAGACAGCTTAAAGTATTTTATTACCAAGTTGTATATCTTGTATATTGCAGCCACAGAAATGCACCGAACAGAGAAGCATTCGGAGCCATCCCAGCTGATACTCTGCCTCGAATTTCATCAGGAGGATTCCGGAACAGATCTGCAGATGTCTCGGAAAAAATGCAATAATAACCAACAGCGGCGTGGTCGTCGGAGGCGGATTGACTGGGGGAATTCGTTGGGAGCTTATGGGTCCATCAGCCTGACAGTTCTGATGCTGACCATTTGCATGGCCCACACGTCGACTGCCGGTAAGTGTTGAAAACTGAAAAACTAATAAAATTCCGATATGAGTCGAATGATTGGACAGGCGACTGTGTAAAGGGGTCAAAATGCCAGGCGGGGAGTTGGTACTGAAAAGCTGACAGCAACATGCACCAGACACACAAGCCTCAATTAAAAGCACATCAATAACATGCGCCACCCACTCGATCCACCCACACTCCGCCCCTTTCCCGGTGAATCCCCTTCCATTTGGCACTTGGCGTGCCAGTTTAGCCTGAGGGTCTCTGGTTCCTGTGATTTTGGATTTTGATTTATTTAACAATTTAGCAACAACATTGCCAATGTCGCAAGCTGTGACTGTGACTTGCTCTACATTGGTCCTTCGTTTTAGGGGGTTTGGAATTCGAAGAGGGTTTTTCTTGCTCACTGCCGCAGAGGAAATATTGGAAATTATGCAATTCCGTTTTTGTGCACTTGAATGGGGAGAAATTACAAATTGATCGGTACAGAGAAGTAAAGAGATGACTTGAAAATGGAAAAATTTTATTAAATGGATGTTAAACGTTGTGAAGTGTGGTGAAAAGAAAATTGGCTTCAGAGAATTGACGCCACATGTCACATTCATTTTCAATTAGAGATTTACAAGTTTCATTGAAACCTCTTTGTTAATTAATCTTCAATTGTATATTTTTGTTTAAATTGTTGGTAAGAAATTTGTGCTTATTTGTATAACATTGAATATAAAAGCAAGCATTCCTATAAAAAAATACTGAATTATTATAAAATTAAAAACAAAAAAAAATATTTTAAAAAATATTGTTGCTCATCTCAATTATCTTAGGCCAACTTCATCATTGTAGGCAATTTATTAAATTTTTCTAGTGCTAAAATTGTAAATAAGAGCCAACAAATTTGTTCAACTCCCGTTTAGCTAACTTTTAAGTGCAAATTATGTTGGTAGACATTAAGTTCGTGTCTATTTATCCTTAATTCCCATGAAATTGCCAATTCTCAACCGCAAGCGCCTCAAAGTATGCAGCAGAAGCGAAAACAAGGAGCCAAAATAAACTTGTCGCTGCAGTTCGGAGGGATATTAACACTGCCCTGGCATTAGCTCCCTTTTGGGCACTGTTCTCCCAGCCAAAACAAACATGGAGCAGCGGCAAAAGAGGAAAACAAAATGTTTCCCGGCTTTGGTCGCTTAAAAATCCCCCTGAGGCCAAATTTGAAAAGCGCTTTAATCGCTAAGCTGCGTTTAGGCGTCAGATTTTGTGTTCCGACAGGTTCACTCCCCTCTCCATAAATTTGCCCACGTCCTTTTTGTCCTTTGAATTTAACCAGCTGTTTAAACATTTTTGCTAACTCGACTGTTGTAATATTACCCAGAAAAGGATTGGGGTATGCAAGAGTTTAGATCAAGGTGTGAACAATTAAAAATAACAATGATGATGGCCCTTCAAATTATTTGTTATATTTTAAGACCATAAACTATTAGTTGGTTGCAAAAATCCTTTAAAAGAGTTTAGAAAATCCTTCCAATTGGTATTATTGCTAGATATTACAAGTTGCTAGTTAAAATTTGTTTGTCCCTAAAGTACATATTTTTTTTAAAAGCCTGAGTATCCCTTAGTTTAGCCATTTGGCAGTCCACATTTTTTTTTTGAACTCTTTACCACAACGAGCCGCCAAATGAGGCATCCTGGGAAGGAAGACGGGAAGTGAGAAGAGGGAAGTGGGAAGTGGGATCCTGGGGTTCCCCGGACTGGCACTCGCGGAAGTGGCGGCTGCGGCTTTTGCATGTGTTTGCTTGGCAGCTGCAATTTTCGTTGGCCATTTTACACGCTCTGCCTCCCCCTTGGATTATGTTCAAGTTCAGCGCTGTCCCAGCGAAAAAGTTTACAAAAAATTCGCCAAAAGAGCGGTGTGCCCTAGAATGCACATAAGCGAGCAGGCTTAAATGTTAAATGAGGATTTCAGAATTTGCTAACTTCATCCATTGAATTAAATGTGAGTTAAGCAAGATCCTGCTGCCTAACAATAAGGTCAAATTGAATTTGGTCAAACGGCACGAAATTAATTTTAATTTTTTATGTGCACCTTTTTAATTTTCAATTAAGTGGCATGGGTACGAATAAAAGTAAAGGGTTTAATTTGTAGGAAATAGCGTTTTCCTTGGGCTTAGTCTGTAAGGAAATTGTAAAAAGAAGGATACAGGAATAGAAAAAATATAAAAAAAAAGAATGAACTGCCATAGAAATACCTGCTTCCTTCTTAACTGCCGTTTTACGAACCTGAGAAGTGGTTCTCGACCATAAACCAAAAACCAAAGCGAAAAATGGCACTCAAACTCTTGTTAAGAGGCACAACAAACCAAGAAACAAACAAACCACTGGAGCACCAATGAGAAATGGATGCGTTCGGGTAGATCTGGGGAAGCCAAATCACACTTGGTGGTAGGGAAACAAAAAATCCAGTTTGTATTTTGTGTGCAGCAGTTGTGGCCCCAGGACAATTGTCAAGGTGAAAAGGGGAAACAAAAAGCACACAATTCGACAGAACATAAAAATGAACTACAATTTTGCAAATTTTAAGCACATTTCAGTTGCTGTGAAAAAGTCGTCAGCGGGGCAAAAAAGCGATTTGCATATTCACACCTACACGAGTGCAAGCAGCACCCACCCACACTCGGGACAGTGTGTGTACTTTTGGCCCATAACTTGCATACAATAAATCTTGTGACGTCCCGAGAGAAAGACGTCACGTAGCAAGAAGAGGTTGGAGAAAAGAAAGCGAAGCTGGATACGATGCCTTTCCTTTCCTGTTTCCTGCTCAAGTTCCTGCCCAGCGCTTGTTGTGTGTGAAATCCTTGCAGTCGTCGAGGATGGTTCCCCGAAAGCCGAACAGAAGGTCCCTGCATCCTTCGTCTCCTCACCGCAAAGTGACGGTGAATAATCGTCGCCAGTTCACATGAAAATTGTCAGAGCACTATTACGAAAATGAAAATGAAAATGAAAAGAAAATCGAGCTCATCATGGGTTTATAAAAATACATATTTCCCACTCTACTCCGTTGCATTGATAATGAGAACCATTGAGCGCGAAAAAGAGAAAAATAAGAAGTAAGCACGAGGAACTGGATTTATATTCATGTCGAGTTCGCCAACAAAAAGCTTTGATAATAGTTTTGTGGTGGAAATTAAAACAAACATCTAAGAACATTCTTAACCGAGTACAGGTTTCTGGGATTAAGTGGTTGATGGCAAGAGATTCAACTTATAAATTAAAATGTGCCTCAAGTTAGCTAAATTTATGAATATCAGCTGGCTTACTAAAGCACGAAAGAAATCAAATGATTCTTGTTAAGTCATGCCGATTATTATCAAGCTATCAATTTAAAATAAAAAAATATAATTTGTCAAATTGTATATATATTTACAAAAACCAGTAAAGATATGAAAATTAATTAAAAAGTATTTTATTTTTTTTTAATTAAAATTACCTTTCTCTAAACAATCGATTTATAAATAATTGTATTGCGAACAAAAATTGTAAAAAGGTTTTTTGGAAAAGGATTTTAAAAAAGAATGTTTGTATATTTAATTGAAATATATAATAAACATATAATATTATAAAACACAATCTATAAGGGAACTTTAAACATTTTAATTTAATTAATTATGTTCAAAATTTATGGTTTTGATAGACATAAAATCTTTAAAAATTTGGAAACATAATCATAATATTTTATCCTATTATTTTTGTATATGTGAGGAATATCTAAATTAATTTAATGGCATCCTATTCTATTATATTTGTTTATATAAAGAAAATCATTAGTTTAAAGCGATGTAAAGAAGTACGCCAGAAATATGCACCCAAACAAAGAATTTAGATTAGGATATTTCCCTAATAAAATGCTTGCTAGAATTAAAACCATTCTTTCGAAATTGATTGACTTTCGCCCAACCTCCGGTTTTATTGCCCGCATAGGAGAAGTCTGAGCACCGCAACCACATCATGTTCTCCTATTAACTTGCATCCCGAAAGCCCTGGGAAACCAGCATATTGTTACACTAAAAGCCCCGCTCCGTGTCCCTCCATGGGTGTCTGTTGCGTGGAACGGGGTAAATGGATAAATAACGATATGTTTACAGATGGCACTGGGGCGAGAAAAGCGGGGAGGAGAGGGGACGGCAGGAGCGAAAGTGTCGCTGATTTATATGCGAATTTTTATATGCACAGTTAAGGTGGCACGTACTGGAGGAACTGAACTGACTGGGGAAAGACACAGAAAGACCCTGCCCGAGAGACAACTCCTTTGCCAGTTGTCAGCTGCCTGTTGCCTCTGCAAACAAATGCGGCGGCGTCTCCGCTCGTCGTCTGAAGAATTTGTAGGCAAACAGACGGGACAAACAGCCAACAGCCGGGCAACTGGAAGACAAACAAACAGATTGGCACACACACACACACACACACCCAGATGCACACGACAATGTTTTTGTTTTAAATGCGTGGGAATGGCAAACGTCTTCAAGGCGAGGCCGAGATTTGTTTGGCTTTTTTCGGGACTCTGGTTTAAAGCTTTGAGCAAATTCTTAAACACACTTGAACTGCAAAACGGCAAATAGCTGCTCATTTTTAATGCATACTTCATAAATCCTTGTCATAACTTTGTTGGCCAACTTGAGCTGCCTCGTCTTCGCCATCATCTGCACGCCACCCATAATCTGCTGCCTCGAGTTTGTCTTCTTGGCGTTGCGTATACGCAACGTTGCCTCGCCACTGCAATTTTACGGCTTATGGCCAGGCCCCAGACCGGGAAACTATTTATCTGACATTTATATGCAATGGTTTTGCAGAAGCCATCAGCCATCAGCCATATTGCTAAATTTCAGATCGGAATCATCAATAAACGGGAGATGATGGAATTTAAATAATAAAATATTGCACCAAATTATTCACGCTGAGATACTGATGGGAGCTAGTTAAATAGACTTTTTTGTTTTTTTCTTTGTTTTGTTTTAAAT